CTGCCTTTGACATAGTTTTTGGAACCAACATATCTTTTTTTTCATCCCAACCCCAATGTGTTGGTTCTTTTTTATTATTAAGCCAATATTGACTTTGTAGGTAAGTCCTAGAGTAATGATTCTCAGCTTCGTCTGAATTTGGAGGCAAAGTAGCTAACTCAAAATTCTTGCTAAGAACTTGTAAGATGTAAGGGTTTTGTATTTATAATATCTCAACTGATCTTAATCATCTGCTAGCCTATGCCTACCATATAAAGTAAATAAAAATGCATCTTCAGCTTTGACTATTTCAGATTTATCTGCTGAAAAATCTAAAAAAAATTGATGTACTTTACTTTGTCGTAAATGAGAATCTTTCTCCGAAGTTTTGTAAGTCGCCACTTTCCCTTTTTTGAACAAGCAGGATGTTGTGTCACAACCTGAGACAGCATGTGCAAACAAGATGGAATGTTTCATGTCACCAATTTTGTTCTGCATAACACCAATATCAGTTACTCTGTTAGGTTTTGCCGATTTTCCTGGTCGAAGCATGAAAATATGATTTTCTGTACGATGATGTAACAGTAATACCAGTAAATCGGTACCTATCGTCCGCAACTAAAGTTACGGGTGTACAAGATTCACTAATTTTCAACACTCTGTTGACTAAAACTATATCTGCATCTCCATCTGTCTGAACTACTTTTATTCCAGCTTCCTTGAGTTTCATGGAATGTGCAGTTATAAATCTCATCTTGTTGTGTTTGTTTAATAAAAAACTTTGTTGGCTCAGAGTTGTCACTGTTGTTTCGTTAATCAAAAACAAAACATTAGAGGACATTGATTTATATGATGACCTTCTCATCTGTTCGTGATTTTTAATTAATGATTTTGAATCTTCGTAACCATCAAAAACAACTGTTGATTTCCACCCATAATGGAATATGACGTAGTTAATGTACTGCTGGTATATTTCTCCGTAATTTGAAGGAAATTGCCATGATGCCTTATGGAGCAAGTTGCCTCCATCAAGAACGTAAACAGTGCTTGGTGGTAAGCTCTCGGAAGGTGGGCATATTCTATCTAAGTATGCGAATAAGGCAATTAGTTTTCCTCATGATTCCATTATCAAATAATGATAAGGGATACGGGGCAAGTTCATGAGAAAAACATTCTTTAAGATTGTCTTTAGTTTTATAGCTGCATAATATACGATTAACTGATTAGGGTTGCTGAATCACAATTGATCTCCTCTGAAGAATTCGACCAGTTTTTCTAGATCTTTGCAATCACGTTTTTCTCAGGAAACACGCAGTTCTACATGTTGTTCTGAGTAAATAGGTTTCACCTCAGCGAAACCTTCCAATACTTCTGAAACTCTAACACATTGCGGCATTGATAAAACCCATTTTCCCAGAACACTATTTGTTAGGCCTCTGCCATGAGTTGATCCACCTTCAGATTTCAAACTCCTCATCAGAACTTGTTCGATGGTCATGTCGGTCCAAACCCCATACCAAAATTTTTGATCCGTCCTTCGGACTGTGAAATGAGTTTTGAACTGTATATATTCCTCGTGTTCCATGGAATTTCTCAGGGTGGTCATCTGCTGCAATTAAATCTGTAAGGCTTTTGCGTAGGGCAAATGAACAGCAGCGTGAAAATACGGAAGCATTTTTCGAACAGCATGCAGATGTAAATCGAAATCTCCCGTTCTTTCAGCTATCAAGAAATTTGCAAGTTCAACTTGCTTCCAATACTGAAACCATAATTTGCCAGTCCTGCCATTCTTTGCTTATTGAGAAAATTGTTGATAGGTACAGTCTCAAAACCGAATAATTAACAGAATTGAAAATTCATAAGTTGATAGATCGCTATGATACAAAATTACTTTTCATTGTATCTGATAGATTTTTTAATTCTCTTCAATTTTCATGTCTTCATTTTTTTTCAAAAAAATGTACCGTTTTCGCGGTTTTTCCCAAACAGTGCTGAAATTCAAGATGGCGGACTACTTTTTTTGGTGACGCAACACTCGGAGGCATGAGGACTTTTAGTATGTTGATAAGGGGTACCAGGGCTACTTATTTTTGATAGTCGCAGCTTTATAAACATTTTTGCATTTTCAACATTGTTAATTTCATAACTGCACTGGCCTACCAAGCTGATGGTCAAGATTATCTACAGCATTCTGAAAACTTCAAGAATTTAGGTGATTCAATTCTGTCCTTATTTGAAGAACTCCTATCTGAATCTTTTCTTATCAAGTGACAGAAAGGATGATGTAAAACACGAAACAAAGACCAATTAAAAAACATAATGATAACCACAGAAGCAGTCACTGAAGCTTTGAAAGACCTAAAAACTCACTCCAGTCTAGGACCAGATGGATTACCTGGGGTATTTCTGAAAAATTGTGCACAATCGCACCATTTATAGAAGCACTATTTAACAGTTCCCTTGCAGAAGAGGTATCCTATCAGAAATATGGACCCAAGCAATTGTAATACTAATCTACAAAAGCGGCGACAAGTATATAATCCGGCTAATTATAGATCAATTAGCCTGATATGGACACAGTATAAAGTATTGGAGAAAATTATTGTCAAAGAAATGACCACGTTCCTTCTTAATACACATATTATACCATCTACACAGCACGGCTTTCTATCAAGTAGATCTACTACCACAAATCTACTCAACTGTCTAAACACATGGACAAAAGAAATTGATGAAGGAAACCCAGTGGATATATAACTTATAGGTTTCCAAAAAGCATTTGATACTGTCCTTCATAAAAGGCTGTTATACAAACTGGATCATTGCGGAATTCAAGGCTTCTACCTTCTGTGGATCAAGAATTTTCTCAAAGATAGGCACTGCCAAGTAAAAGCAAATGGAACCTACTCAAATCTCTATAGAGTTACGAGTGGAGTACCACAAGGATCGGTCATAGCTTCCATTTTCTTTTTGATGTACCTACATATATACAGCATTTCAGAACGAACATCGATGCCTTTTCAAATGACAAAAGCTTGTTTGCAAACCACTGACACATCACATACACCTGTTCTAAAAAGATCTACAAACCATAGAGCAATAATGGACAAGCACCTGGCTACTCAAGCTCAACAAGGCAAAATACATAGTGCTTCATGTGGGTCGCAAAAACCCAATGATCCAGTACAAAATTTACAATATGGAATTAAAAAATGTGGTGTATAATGTAACTAACGATCTAAAATGGGAAACGCATATAGGACACATAGTGAAAAAGGCCAACCAGATGTCCTACTTGATGAAACTAGCCTTTGCAAACCACTCCATTAGCAATTAGCATGATAAACAGGCTATATACACTTTACATCAGACCCAAGTTGGAATACCTATGGCCATACAGTGTGGAACACTTACTATATCAAAGACATCGAACTTTTAGAACAGGTGCAACGCAGACTAACGGAAATTCCATTTGAGATTAGACACTTACCTTATGAGATCAGGCTACAGAGATTCAGTATTCAGTTTAACAACGCTTAAGCAACGAAGAAAAATACATTAACTTCCTATTGCTATACTGATCATAATAATAATAATGATAATAACCTCACAGAAAAAAGTCCAAAGGTGTGAAGTCCAGAGATCTTGACGGCCATTCAATAACAATTATTGATCCTCGATTAATTATTATATCTTCTTATCGAGTTAGTTTTTTTGAGGGACTTTGAAACTAAATTCCCCTCATTCCAACGTTACTATTAAAGGTTTTCAACTCCGGTTTATAACAAGAATATAAAAAAAATATTCTTGAAGAGAAATTCCATGTCACCTAATGGGCTCTTTCACTAATTTTTGAAATTGGCATATTTGGATAAAGCAACTAAAAACAGAATTTTCTGTATTTTTACTTTTGAAAAATTCATAGTCCTTCTTGAGAAAACAGAAAAAAAAGAAATACCTCCAAATAAAAACCCAGAATTTATTTCTATGACGTCGTAGCTCGCTATTTGACCATGTTGCCACTAATTGTCAACATTGAAAATTTGTAATAGATTTAATTCTGAAATGTTCCCAAAATATCATGAAAAGTAGTTAAATTAATTACTTATGGATTCAAGATTTTATAACATTTTTATTGAAATTATGCTTAAACACAATTTAATATAATTTTCTATGTTTAGTTTTATTTATTTATTTTACGTTGCACTACATTTAGTCACCACCGACAACAGCGCATTCGAACCTTTACCTGCATTTACTACAGGATAAATACAGCAGAGGCGGACAGCTCTTTCCAACAACAAGCGAAATGAAAAATATTTATGCGACGTCAGCAAATCGGCGCGTTTTTAAATAATTCAAATTTTGGTAGTTTAAAATGCCTGTAAAAAACTTATTTAACCTTGTAGAACATTTTTTTTTGGTATATGTGCCTAAAATAGTCCCTCCTTTGGGATTTTATACCTAAATTACGTATTTAAATTTTAGTGAAAGAGCCCATTGTAATTTCACGGTCTGTAATTCGATCTTCAAAGGGGGAAAGAGAGAACGCGCATAATGGTCGCATTTATTTACACGAAACTTTTTCTTGTACATTTTATTGATATTTAATGATCCCCCGGTGTCACGAAACAGCTGTTCGTCGTGTTCTCGAAATAAACTTTACCAACTTCGTGATAAAATCTTAATTTAAGACATCAGAGAGCCACGTGCGTGCACATCAACTTAAATGTCGCCTAATTGGTCGTCTGGAGGCTTCTAAAAATACCGTTATTCGATTCTGTTGTCTCTTGGAACTTGCGAGTTCGGAATTGTTGCGGGAAAGTTAATTTATTCGTATTTAGTAGTTCATGACATTTATTTGGGAACAAAGAACACCGGTGAAGAATGGTGGAAGATAACTGAACCAAATTAAGCATAATTTTAGCAGTCAAAAACCATCAACCAAATTTGTTGAAATCATAATTTACAAAATGTTTCTTGTATCATTGAACTTAACTTTACTCTTTTTTTTGTTTCAGGTATGTGCTCGCAATTCGGCTTTTAGTGTAAGTATTACTTCAAATAGGTCACCAATCAAATTATTGGCAAACTGCTAATGATTATCATTACACCATACACCTGTCCACCCATTATCAGACGCCTTTGTTTCATAAAAAGCTCACATTAGTCACGCCTAAGTGCATCCAATTATTTCGCTTGTTTTGGCCTCAGGTACAATAGCTTCAGGTGTGTTTTAACGGCACATTAAATAATTTTCTCCAATTTTATTTATTCGAGGATTACGATTGAGATATAGTGAGATATACAGTGAAGAAAGGCAAGATAAAACAAATTGTAGGCATTTCTAGGAAAGCCATTACGGTAACGATAAGGTAAATAATTGGGCAATTTAACACTTATAAGTACAGGCCTGCTTCGACGAAATTACTGGTGCAGTCAAGACAATGATGGCAAAAAGGGACACTAGTTGTTATGATGAGAAAGAAATAGAATTTGACACAGCTGTAATGTTGTCTTCAATAACTAATAATTTCTGTAGGTATACAGTCAACAGATGGATATAGGTAATTTAAATATCAACAAAATACCAACAAGTACGCAGAAACTACCAAACATAGACAAGGTATTTAGAGAATTCCTAAAGGTAACGTTAATATGTTATATCTAGGCAAAGAAATGCTGGCGATGCCTATAAAGATAACGTTAAATTTTCTCGAAACGTGTTTTGTATATGCGAGGCAAATGTTAATAGAGAAAAAATGACCTGGCTCTTCGCTATGGTGAGCATAGCAATATGAATTAATAAAATATTTCACATTGCAGGTAATGACAGGTATGATTAATAATCTATTAAGTAAATCGGCAACAGGTGTTTAATATTAATGCACTTGAACGAGTATTGATTACGTGCCTCATCGACAGAGTTCAGGACAAAGGACAACTGCTACATCGACATTTATTTAAATTAAGTGTTTTTCTCTATCAGAAAAAGTTGGTCGAGTTGGCTTATGAACTTTTTGTTCCCATCCATAATAAGTAAGAAATGTGGTCGGTCAACGGTCAACTGCCCTGATTATTTTTTGGTCTGGGAAAGTCTGCAGTGCCTATGTTTCTTTATTGTTTGTTCGTGTGTTGAATTCTCAGATCCAGTTAGAGTAGTTTAGTATGGTGATCCTGGCCTGGCGGATCACTTGTTGGCTGCTTCATAAGGTGTGGTTCTAATGGGATGAGCCCGGTGGGGTCAAGACCTGAATAGTTTCCAGGTTTGAGTCCCTTCTTATTGTAGTGTTCCTGAGGAAACAGGTGGCATCAAGCAGGCTTCGCAAGATACTACGGTTCTCCAAGGTTGTAATGGGGAGACGGGCGCTTGGAGTGGCTATTGTGGCTCAGGTTGGAGCGCCGTAGGTTTAGGATCGGCCTTATGTACAGTTTTTACTGTGGTGTTAAGTTTGGAGCGTCTGTTGAGGAGCGGGTACAGCAGTCTGAGCTGTCCTTGGGCCGTGTTCCTGATGATTTCGATGTTTTCTCTCTAAGTTAGCCTTCTCGAAAATCATGCCCAGGTATTTCGCTTTGTACGACCAGTCCCGCGGTTGTCTTTCGATTCTATCTTGTCGTGCAATCGGTACTTCTGGTTTTTCCCAAATATGTCGGCCTGCATTTTTCTGGGATTTACTTGAAGGCACCATCTAAGTCTGGCAGGTGTCGTTATAGGCGAACTCTAATGATTGGTCTGCTGCAGGTCGTATATATATTAGCCATGTAAATGTTAAATAGTAGCGAGCTAAGAGGGATGCCTTGGGGGCACGTACTGGCCTTATGGTCGAGGTGGTTTTGTTTGCAGAGGTACCATCAATCGTAACACAGAAATTTGTGTCGGGGAGTAATGAGGCAACCAGCCTCACAGTAGTGTGGGATATATGTTCGCCCGTAATATTTTAAGAATAAGTCCTTAGTGCCACATCTTGTCGAAGGCTTTGGAAATGTCTCAGAAGACTGCACAAGTTTCCATTCTGCAGTTTGTAACCCCTTTTGTTAACGAATCAACTAGAGGCCCATAATATGCTCAGTTTGCTCAGCGAATAATTATAAGAGGTAGGTCAATAGTACTGAATGGTGCCACTGAATTTGTAAAAATAAATAATTAAATTACGTATTGTCTGTCGTTTTTAATTTGACACTTTCCGTATGAGGAGCGAGGGGGTGAAGCTTATGGCAAAAACAGGTGTGACGTCAGGTGACCATTGGCGTTCTAACGTAGGGTGCCACCAGCTCACATTCCTTTGGAGTATCAGATTAAAATCGACGCACTTTAGAATAGGTAATTGATAATTCTGAAAAGGATATAAATAAGGCATATAACTCAACCAAGTCCTGACATAGGTAAAACTAATAAAACACTCTAGTAATCGGCCACTGGCCATATCTTGAAATTAAAATATGAAAGATTTAAGTTTCCAGAAAATATAATCGAAAAAAATTAATTGGTAAAAACTGTTATATTACATGGATAAATATGGTCAGCTTCTGCCAGGAAAATAAAATCAGTAAAATCAAATTAAAATTACGTGAAATCAAAGGTTAAACGTTGAAGGTATATAGGAGATATAAAAGAAATCCTCAAATATATAAGTTATAATAGAACCCGGGTGAAAAATTGATCAGTTTTTGACGTGTAGTTTGTTCATCTTCAGATAAACTTGCTGGTAACTATCTGCAAGATAAATTTACCTTTCCATAATTCTATTGGTTGGCGGATAATTGGCCGACCAATGAGATTATAAATTGAGTCTTTATCCAGATTGCATACTTGACAGTTTATCAGAAGATGAATAAACCGGCCCTAAATGTATCAGTGAAAATTCAATCAATTATGTCAATTGATCATCAAATAGATTCCATTTTGATTCCATAAAAAAAGGTGAAAGTTATTAATAAAACTATTCAAGCCTCGATTACAACAAAAACGTTGGAGTACGGTAGCCGTCCATTTTTTGTCACTTGACGGTTGAAGTTGCAGATGGAAATTGCAGATTCTCGCCTTGAATCAAGGTAGATAGAGGCTTGAAGTTCACAGTTTTCGTCAAATCTTGACGGACAAGTTTCAACACGTGAGGGACTGATTCCTCTAGGAAATCCCTTCAAAAGCTCTGTGCCCATGCTCCTCGAAAATGGTGGCTCGTTGGAAATGGGCTCCTCGAAAGAAACGAGCTCCTCTAAAGAAACGAGCTCCTCGGAAGAAATCGGCTCCTCGGAAGAAACGGGCTCCTCGAAAGAAACGGGCTCCTCGGAAGAACCTAAGTAATAGAAGCATTTCCATGAATAACCATTACTTAAAAAAAATTAAATAAAAAGAACTTACCACGGGTAGATTTGAAATTCAAACTCAAATAATACGGTAATCACAAGACGATATAAAATTTTTCTGTAAATAATGGAACTTTGCCTTAAGCAACTTTATTTCGTCAATCACATTTTACTCAGGAATAGCTGCCCCCAGGCCAGGATCAACCTTTCAGGTCGAGAGTCGAAATTTAAAAGGGGCGAAGAATCGGACAAGCTTATGCTACGTTTACATTCAATTCTAATTTGAATTGGAAGTGAAATTTTCATGCTTGCCATATGGAAACCTGTAGTGTCGTCTAGTTTGCTATTTTTAAGGTCAAGCTCACTTTAATTTTTAGATTATGTTATCTCCAATGTGGTCACGTGCCGCACGAAACCCATTGTCAAGTAATTCCAATTGCAATTTGAATTGAATATAAACGTAGCTTTAAGGTCACTGACAAGCTGAGCAAGCAAAGCTTCTCCTCGAAAAAATAGCCAACAAAAAGTGTTGGTTGGTACTAAACTGGTACTCCACCATTTGTTCATTTGGTAGAAAGTGAAGGCAGTCGATAGAGTCCTGCAGTTTCTGTTTTATTAGTCTTTCCGCTACTTTTCCCAGTACCGAAAGAAAGCTGATGGGGCGGTTGCTTTTAGGGTAGGTGCTGGTTTCGCCGAATTTTCCGATGGGTATGATGTTCGCTTTCTTTCACTTGGATGGGAAGTGGGATAGGTTGAAGGATGCCTGGACATACTTCCGCAGCTTCTCTATCTGGTTTTGGGGTAGCTTTTTTAAGGTCGTGCTTATGATGTTATCCTTCCTACTGACCAGTCCGACTATTGTCTAGGTTGAGATGATTGGTGGAGGTTCGAGTAGCGGTTTCTGCTGGTTCGGCAGAAGTTGTATGCTGTGTTCAACTTTCCTATCTTGATCCCGGGAATAGCGGCAGGTTTGTTGTGATTTGAACTTCCTAGTCTGTCGGCAAAGGTTTGGGCTTTTGAAATCGGGTTTCTTATGTGGACTCCGTTGATTTTGATGGCTGACATGTTTTGTCTGGGGCCTTAGGTTTCTTGCCAGTTGCCTTGTGAACAGCTTCCAGTTTTTCTTACCATTGGCTGTTTGTTGCCTCGTTGACTTGGAGCTTGATGTTGTGGCTCATCTGGTTCACCCTGCGTCTGAGAAAGGGATCGCCGGTGCACATTGTCGTCTTCCTCATAGTTTCTTTCTAGCTCGGATCTCTGCCAGCAGTTCGGGAGATAGTTGGTTTCTTTCTGCTACATGGTTCACTGTGGTGTTTGCGGTGGCTAGAGCTTAAAACATGTTAAAGGACAGGGCGTCTACTACCCCTCCCAAGTTCTGGATGGTTTAAATTTTGGCGAGAAGGTGCAGTGTCTTCTCTATCAGGTTTCCATATGACATTATTATTACTGGTAGATGGTCTGATGATAGGAAATGTAGGACTTGTGGATGGGATACTAGGTATAGGTTTTTGTAAAGGAAGAAGTCTAGTAGGTTTGTAACATCCTTCCTATAGTGTGTTGGTTCGTCTGGTCACCAGATATGGAATTTGTATCGTTCTTTGGATAGAGAAGTCTCTCTGGTTAGTTATGGGACTGCCCCATTCCTCGTTCTTCGCATTGAAGTCATCAGTATTAAGCGGTCCGGATTGTTCAAAAGGGCCCCTAGGTGTCTATCGTCGACGTTTTGGCTTGGTTTGATGTA